TTTATTGGACAAGTTTATAAGCGAGTTAATTTAAAAAAAGAGTTTCCGCGATTGTGATTTCTCTTTGTAAACATTTGTAAGTAGCGGAAAACAACGCTGTGAATTTATTTCCTACGTTTCCTTTTCAGAAGAACAATAAGAAAATCGAATGGAGGCGATTTGATTATTCTGAAAATATAAAGGCACCTTTTGAATAATTCTGATTTGCACCTGTTTGGTCTAACATGGAAATCTTTTCATTGGTTTGCAACAAACTAAATGATTAGTCGCTAAAATGAAATTGGTCAAATTTATCGATTGAATCTACAGGGATAAATTATGAATTTTCTCACTGCAGTCGATCAGTAGAGTGTCCAACCGAGCAAAGCGAAAGCAACTGCGGTGGTATAGTTCATCAAATATTTTTTTCTACGATCAAAGGCTTTGATTCTCATAGATTTTGCGTTAAACCGAATCATCCTTGTCAACTGAAGCGTCACCCGTTTGTTTTGCTTTTTCCCCGAAGAAAAATATTCTAGCAAGATGTCGTTCGCGGGCTTTAAGAAACAGATCAACAAGGCAAACCAGTTTGTGAGCGAAAAGATGGGATCGGCCGAAGGAACTAAGATGGAGGACGAATTTATCGATCTGGAGCGAAAAACTGACGTGATGACAAATCTTGTGACTCAGCTGCTGGGCAAAACGAAGGAGTATCTTCAGCCCAATCCAGCCGTACGCGCAAAGATTTACATGCATGTGGCCGCACAAGGGAGCAAATACCCCCAGACGGAAGGAGCTCTTGGTGATATAATGCTGAAAGCCGGCCATGATCTCGACCCACAACAATCCGACTACGCTTCGGCTTTGCTCGATGTCGGAAGTTCTTTGATCGAAGTTGCCGAAGTGAAAGATACGATGGATGCTCAAGTCCATGAGAATTTCCTAATCCCGCTACACGAACTGGAAGAAAAGCAACTGAAAGAGATCGCAGGGCATCGGAAGAAGCTACAAGGACGGAGACTCGATTATGATTGTAAGAAGCGAAAGGGAAATAAAATCGCGGTGGAAGAAGTGAAAATGGCGCAGTACAAGTTTGAAGAATCGAAAGCGATTTGCCAACAGGAGATGACCCAGTTGATGGGAAATGAAGTTGAGCGTATTCATCAGCTCAGTCAGTTGGTCTGCGCCATGTTGGAGCACCACAAGAAATCAGCCGACACCCTTGATATATTTTAGTCTTTCCATTTTCCGCTGTATTAAAGAGGCGGAATTATTTTTATTTTATCTAAAATATAACGGTTACTTGCACAGATAGTTGTGTAGCCTACGGACCGCCATATTGCCTGTACTATAGTACGTAATTCAGCGGGTGATGCCCGCGTAATTTGGTGCATTTTCAGCGGGTATCACCCATAGGGGTTGCGTGAATCGGGTGCTCAATTATACTATCCAGGCTCTTTCCAGCCTTCTACCCTGTCAGTGTTTTAAAACGGGCAAGAAGAACGCGCAACTTGTTTTCCGATATTGCTACAAAATGAGTTGAACAGCGATGTTGCGCGTGTTACCACCCACGAATCAAACCTGTCCCGGAACGAACGAGGAAGTCGCAGGTTGGGAAAAGTTGTCGCAGAAGGTAGAGACTACGTCCACTTTTTGCAGAAAAATCTTCACAGTGTTATTTTGCGCGTTTCACTGGCTCAAGGCAAACTTGTTTTGCAGCATGCATGACGTGACTTCCGCCTAATTTTATCCAACCAGAAGTCAGTATTCACACAAATTTGTTTTCTACTCGAAGCAACATATTGATTTAATAGTCTTGCAATGCAACTGGTAAAAACTGCCGAGACGTTTCGGTTGAAAAACGAGACACTGGGCGGTATTTGTCGGCACGTGCGTAGAGATAAGCTGCACCGCCTGGAAAGGTATCTGATGGGGCATTGAAAAGTATAATTCACTGACTTTCAAGTTTTTTTTCAGTATTTTAGAGGAGAATTTACAAACTGCTCTACTCGCAAATAGCAGGGTTAATCTAGGCGGGTGGAGCAAATCAGTTAGTTTTAATACACTGAAAATCTAAAGAAATAAGGAACTAAATAAACAGATAAATAGAACAAACTACGTACTAAGAGATAGAGAAAAATATATATATGACAAGGGCGTGTTTGATTGGGGTGTCAGCTGTTTTAGGGTTAGGGTTGGGGTTCGGATAGGATTAGGGTGAGTGTCAACCCTAACCCTAACTCTTTTAAACAGCATTCTTTAAAAAAAGAGATAGACCCCAACCCCTGCCCCTGCCCCTGCCCCGGCCCCGACTCCGACCCCGCTTTATACTGACACCCGTTCAATTGACGGTCTCCCGGAATAAGAATAAAGGGAATACATTCTACAAATCATGTGTTTTGGCATTTAATGCAAAATACTCACATATACATATTCCGATGTACCAGTAGCGTCTAAGTGGCCCAAGCTTTGTGACAAGTGAGTGTTGACTGGTTATTTTTCTTCTTTTGAGGTTAACAGAATACGACTGATCGAACGCACCCGTTAATAATAACAAGGAACTTGTTAACAAAGTAACAAGTAAAACTTCGGTTTAAATTAAAATAACATCCAGCAGATAAAGACAAAAGGCTTAAAGAGTGTTCACTAGTTCTTTTTCTTCTTTTGAGATTAACAGGCGCTTCAAAGTAAACGGCGTCGTCAGTTTTCTAAAGCTTAAGAGGTAGCAATAAGACACAACATATTTTTTTCGGAAGGCTTTTTTGGATACCGTATTAGCGTATTTCAGTGGCGATACTATTTCATTAATTGGCTCCAAATTATAACCAAGTAAGAGTGAATCACGGTAAAGGAGCTGTTGTTTTGCTTATTGAACCTTATGTCAATAAGAGAAAGGAGAAATCTAATCGGGATGTCTAGGCGATTCACAAAACTAATTTTGTCTTGAATTGTCTTGTCTGACAATCTCATTGCCGTTGCCGTCTTCGTCAGTTGCTATTAAAAAGCTGCTTTTTAAAATCGAGGTCACGTGAGAGGAAAAGTGGGAGTCCCTCTTCCCGAATTTTTTTTTTTTCTGAGGGTCAGGGGAGCGGCTGTTCAACGGCAGGAAACCCCAAATGCACGCTAGAACCTCACCCCCTCCCCCAGGAAGATCATCTGAATTTGAACAACAACAAACAGGGCATTATCACGAAAAAAATTATCCTTTGGTGGAAGAAAATGAAAAAAATCAGAATTAGCAACCTAAGGGCTGCGTCTGACTCATCATTTGTTCATTGTCTTATATTAAATATTACCTTGCATTTCTTAGATTCATAGAAACAATTTTTTTCAATTAAAACCAAACTTACAAACCGAGTTTTCGTCAGCCTTGTTTCCGTTCGGTTTTGTAAAAATGTCGAGTACTTTTCGCTGACTAGTTACGTTCGATTAACGCTTTTTTTCGATATTATACAATCTGTAGAAAATTAACGATAACAAAATTATGAATTTACATTTTCGCTACTATTTTAGGTAAGGAGTATTTGCCCATTTCACAATTTTCGAGAAACCACTAAAAAATTTTAATTGTCCACATACAATGGAAAATAGTTCAATTTACGAACTCAAACCTTAAAATCAGGCGAAAGAAAATTGCCAGTAAATGAAAGTTTATTGGACAAGTTTATAAGCGAGTTAATTTAAAAAAAGAGTTTCCGCGATTGTGATTTCTCTTTGTAAACATTTGTAAGTAGCGGAAAACAACGCTGTGAATTTATTTCCTACGTTTCCTTTTCAGAAGAACAATAAGAAAATCGAATGGAGGCGATTTGATTATTCTGAAAATATAAAGGCACCTTTTGAATAATTCTGATTTGCACCTGTTTGGTCTAACATGGAAATCTTTTCATTGGTTTGCAACAAACTAAATGATTAGTCGCTAAAATGAAATTGGTCAAATTTATCGATTGAATCTACAGGGATAAATTATGAATTTTCTCACTGCAGTCGATCAGTAGAGTGTCCAACCGAGCAAAGCGAAAGCAACTGCGGTGGTATAGTTCATCAAATATTTTTTTCTACGATCAAAGGCTTTGATTCTCATAGATTTTGCGTTAAACCGAATCATCTTTGTCAACTGAAGCGTTACCCGTTTGTTTTGCTTTTTCCCTGAAGAAAAATATTCTAGCAAGATGTCGTTCGCGGGCTTTAAGAAACAGATCAACAAGGCAAACCAGTTTGTGAGCGAAAAGATGGGATCGGCAGAAGGAACTAAGATGGAGGACGAATTTATCGATCTGGAGCGAAAAACAGACGTGATGACAAATCTTGTGACTCAGCTGCTGGGCAAAACGAAGGAGTATCTTCAGCCCAATCCAGCCGTACGCGCAAAGATTTACATGCATGTGGCCGCACAAGGGAGCAAATACCCCCAGACGGAAGGAGCTCTTGGTGATATAATGCTGAAAGCCGGCCATGATCTCGACCCACAACAATCCGACTACGCTTCGGCTTTGCTCGATGTCGGAAGTTCTTTGATCGAAGTTGCCGAAGTGAAAGATACGATGGATGCTCAAGTCCATGAGAATTTCCTAATCCCGCTACACGAACTGGAAGAAAAGCAACTGAAAGAGATCGCAGGGCATCGGAAGAAGCTACAAGGACGGAGACTCGATTATGATTGTAAGAAGCGAAAGGGAAATAAAATCGCGGTGGAAGAAGTGAAAATGGCGCAGTACAAGTTTGAAGAATCGAAAGCGATTTGCCAACAGGAGATGACCCAGTTGATGGGAAATGAAGTTGAGCGTATTCATCAGCTCAGTCAGTTGGTCTGCGCCATGTTGGAGCACCACAAGAAATCAGCCGACACCCTTGAACGGCTACTATTGCTACTTAACAAGAGGGTGCACGAAGCTTCAAGTCGCAGTGGCAATAATCAAGCGGCAAATAAGAGTGCAGAAAACCAGGCTGTGAATCAGGGAAAGTCCGAAGCTTCCGCCAAAGGCACGAATCCTTTGGCAGACGACTCGGATTTAACTGGGAAACCGAAGGAAGAAGCAACGCCCAGTAAGCCGAGTTGCCGAGCGAAATGCGACTACCAGGCGGAGAAAGACGGAGAGCTGTCCTTCTCTATGGGCCAGGTGATAATGCTGTCGGAGAAGCTGAATGAAGACTGGTTTGAGGGAACTTTGGAAGGAAAATTTGGGAGAATACCGGTTAAACATGTGGAAATTCTGGTCGATTTGCCTTGAACAAACTTCTCGGAGGCAGAAAGCAATCAACGCTTTTGAAACAGACTGATTTCTCAGACCCTTCAATTTCTATAATTGAAATTTGGTCATTATGTGGGTTTTTTAAAAATCAAATTTAAATACGGAATGAATTTAATTTTTTTTCGCAGACGATAATACTTTTCTGCAATTTGTTTTATTTTCGATATTTGAATGGCCGATTCTTTCAGAACTATAATAAATTGTTTAACGAAATTTAAACGAAAATGTACAACGACACTCAGTATCAGTTTTCTAGAGATGCACTTGAAAAATACTGTTAACATCTTGATCGTTACAATTTTTCACTATAGGAGATAAACAACAAAATTAACATAATGAATCTTAACTGTTTTTATATTTTCGGAAGAAAAAGGCGTTGTTTTCCGTGGTAAAATTAGACTTTTCAGAGAACGTGAATGATAAGAAACTAAAAATTTAAAATATTTGCATTACTTATAAACTGTAAACTTGCATTGTTAAGTTATGATAAACCAATTGATTGAACAATAGGAAATTAAAACATGTTTTCATTTGCAGGAGTAGATCCGTGCGCTCTATTTCCCACTCTTCGAGGGATAATGAATACGACAAAAATAAATTTTCCTCGCGACTAACTTCCAACTTCGAAAATCAATAAAGTTAACATAGGTAATGTGCGAACGCACACTGAAAGGTAAAATGCAGTCGATCCTCCGCTAACAGCCACCTCTCTCTGACAACGGCCCCTTTTTTCGTCCCGGCGGACTAAAAAATCCACACATTGACTCTTGTTTAAAACCTGTCTACAAACGGACACTTTCTTCTGTCCCCAAGATGGCCGTTGTAGAGAAGTTCAACTGTGAACATTTCCGAATTCACATGAATAGCAGCTGGCTCGTACCTAAGTGCTTGTTGGGATTTTCGACGGTAGTCACGGCGCAAGGATCATGT